TGAGTTTTGAGGAGACTGATTCCATAAAAAAAAAAACTGGGGGGCGATATACATGTAAGGGCAGACATTTAAAAATTTAAAGGATTAAAAATTAAATTTTCTCAAAATTTTAGGAAAGGCCTGTTGGACTTTTGGCTTATATCGCCTACTATTGTTTTGAAATTTTAAAATGATTTTTTTAAAATCAAATTCTAACCCTAATTTTTTAAAATTAAGGGTAAACACACATTTAATACTTAAATTATTAATTTTAGTCCGTTTTAATACATAATTTTTTTTAAAAAAGCGTACATAACATTTAGTTTTTGTTTCATTTTAGTTATATGACATTAAAAACTTAACGACAGACTCGTCGATAATTGTATTCGTCGACTGATGAAACCCTAACTTTTTATCCCGAATCTTTTCATGCGATTTTGACTTCCATTTCAATGGAAAACGCCTCAATCTCCCCAAATTGATGTTAGACTCTTTGATTTCTTCATCCTCCAATTTGCATGATCCACTGTGCGATGGACCTAAAACTTGACTATGTTAGTCGATTCATCATTCTCTCGTGGTCCACCGTTCAAATTAGTTGTTCGTCCACTAGAGTTATGTCATGTCAGCTAATCCGTTAAGATTTTAATGATAGAATACTAAAATGATACAAAAACCAAACGCTAGATATAGTTTTGAAAAATGCATACTAACAAAATTACCCCTCAACGATTGCAAAAATAGTCACTTTGTCTCTATCCTTTTTTATTTGGAGCATTTTAGCCCCCAACATTTTATTTCAGAGACAAAATGCCTCGTGTGTAGATGTAAATCGTTAGTTAACTAACGGTCAACGCTTTTTGTTAATGTGGAAGGTCCACATGTATTCCACATCATCAATTTTTTTTTAATTATTTTAAAATATATTTTTTATAATTCTATGTGAAATTAATTATAATTTATTCTAAAAATATTTTTTTATTAAAGTAACATTTAGTTTTTGTTTCATTTTAGTAACCGTTCAAAATTCAACATTAAGTTTTTTTAAAAATAGAAAGTTTAGGTACTAAAACGGACCAAAATTGATAGTTTAAGTATTAAATACGTTAAATTTTTAACGGAATGGTACTAAAATGAAATGAAAAACTAAACATTAGGTATGATTTAAAAAATAAAAAAGTAGGTACTAAAACAAATCAAAACTGATAATTTACGTATTAAATCCGTAGTTTACCCAAAAAAAACAAACCTGCAAACACAGTATCTATTGTTCTCTTCACTACATCAAAAAGGCCAATAAATCCAACAGTTCCCACTCTTTAACTTCTCCTTCATCTCTTCCCCTTCCGTTTTTAATTTTTCTAATGTAATTTTTAAACTCACTTTTTACTCCTTTCTCTATCGAAGCAAAAGCATGGCCATCACTGCATCTTTGTCTCTTCTCTTTGTCCTACAAAGACTGACACGAGAGAACTGAGAAACCAAAAAAAGGGTATTTGAAAGGGGGAAAAAACAAAGCCATTTTCTTCTACCAATTTGTTTTTGGCTGAAACTTTTAGAAACTGAAACCCCAAAAGCAATGACTTCCATTATCTTCAACCTTTGTCTCTTGTTTTCCGTCCCTCTCTTCACAACCCAGTGTTGTTTCAGTGAGAAGACTGAGCTGAAAGCATTAATGGATGTCAAAGCTGCTTTGGACCCAGATGATAAATATCTATCTTCATGGACTTTCAAAGGCGTACCTTGTGATGGTTCTTTCGAAGGCTTAGCGTGCAACGAAAAAGGCCAAGTAGCCAACATTTCTTTGCAAGGCAAAGGGTTGTCCGGCAATATCTCGCCGGCGATTGCAGAGCTCAAGCACTTGACGGGGCTTTACTTGCATTACAACGCTTTGTACGGTGAAATCCCAAAAGAAATAGATAAATTGAATTTGCTCACTGATTTGTATTTGAACATGAATAATCTCTCCGGTGAGATTCCTCCTGAGATTGCTGACATGGGAAACTTACAAGGTCGGTTTACTGCTTTGTTTGTCCATTGTCTTCAGCATGCTTTGAAACATGTTTTTCTTTGTGTTGCATGTTGTTTGCAGTGTTGCAGCTGTGTTATAACCGGTTAACGGGAGGCATACCCACAAAGCTGGGATCTTTGAAGAGGCTTAATGTTCTTGCTTTGCAGTCCAATCAACTTACTGGTGCAATCCCAGCTAGTTTAGGGGATTTGGGTACTTTAATGAGGATTGATTTGAGTTTTAATAGTCTCTTTGGTTCAATCCCCATGAAACTAGCTGATGCTCTTCTGCTTGAAGTTCTGGACATTCGAAATAATTCGCTTTCTGGCAATGTTCCACTTGGTAAATCATCTTTTGCTTTGTTATTGGTTCATTTTTGTGTGGTTTTCAGTACGCCATTTGATTTTGTTTATACACTTGTTTGATCTAGCTCTCAAGAGACTGAATGATGGATTCCTGTTTCAAAACAATCTCGGTTTATGCGGGTCGGGTTTTCCATCGCTGAGCCCCTGTAATGCCACCGGAGGAATTAATCCGAGCAGACCCGAGGCGTATGGCGCAACTGGTCTTTCTAGGGAAATACCAGAGACAGCAAATCTGAGGTTATGTGAGCAAACAAAGTGCTCCAAGCCGAAGTCTCGAAAGGGTCCTATTTTTGCTGGCCTATTTGTTGCCACGGTTGCATTATGGGCTATAGGGTTCTTCACACATAAACAATATCGTCGCCGAAAACCAAAACTCGGTAACCCGATCGATGTTTTTGATAGCTCTGATCAAGCACAGGGAGATTACTGGAAGAACGGTTCACCACTTGCTAGCCTTGAGTATGCTAATGGTTGGGATCCTTTGGCTGGCAGGAATTTCAATGGCTTCACCCAAGATGCCCTTAAGAGCTTTAGGTTCAATTTAGAAGAGGTTGAGACGGCTACTCAAAACTTTTCGGAGGTAAATTTAGTTGGGAAGAGCAACTTTTACGCGACCTATAAAGGGTACCTGAGGGATGGATCAGCTGGCGTGATTAAAAGGATCAGCAAAACGAGTTGCAAATCTGATGATGCTGCTTTCTTGAAGGGATTAAATGTTTTGGCGTCATTGAAGCACGATAATTTGGTGCGTTTGAGAGGCTTTTGTTGTTCGAAGGCCCGGGGAGAGTGCTTTCTTGTTTACGATTTTGTCCCCAACGGGAATTTGCTGAGCTATCTTGATGTGAAAGATGGTGATGGCATGGTCCTGGATTGGTCCACTAGAGTTTCCGTTGTTAAAGGCATAGCCAAAGGTTCGTCTCTAGTTCTTGGCCTTAATCTATTGCAGGGTTAAAGTGTGGTTCCTATTTGCTAAACTAGATTTGTTTGATTATATAATATATATATTTTTGGAACAGGTATAGCATACTTGCATGAGTACAGAGTGAACAAACCCGCCCTTGTTCACCAAAACATTTCGGCCGAAAATGTGCTCATTGATCACCGGTTCAATCCGCTGCTTTCAGATTCCGGCTTGCACAACATCCTCACCATCGACATCGTCTTCGGAGCACTCAAGGCTAGTGCTGCCATGGGTTACCTAGCTCCTGAATATGCTAATACCGGTCGTTTCACCGAAAAGAGCGACGTTTATGCATTTGGGGTAGTTGTTTTCCAAATCCTTTCAGGGAAGCAAAAGATCACAAGCTTGGTACGTTTGGGAGCCGAATCTTGTTGCAGGTTCCAAGACTTTATCGATCCTAACCTCCACGGTAGGTTCTTCGAATATGAAGCGGCTAAACTAGCGAGAATCGCTTGGCTTTGCAGTCACGACTCTCCTATTGAAAGACCATCCATGGAAGAAGTGGTCCAAGAACTTGGCAACTGCAGTAGCCGTCTCTAGTTGCATACGGTTCCAAAGGTTTTTAATGGTGATGGTGTTGTCACTAACTACTCACAGGGGATGTATGGGGCATGCTTTTAATTGTTGGCATCTTCTTGTCAGGACTATGCCTTAAGGATTCTGTGCATTGTTGTACCGTACTAATGGGGTTTTCATGTGAATTCGACATCGGTTCTTCGGAAAATTGTATAGTAGCGGATTGTCTTTCATTAGCTTTCGTTTCGACTCTGAATGCATGCAGTTCTATGGTACATTGCTACCTTTCTATTTGCAGACATGGTTTAGGTCCCATGGCCCCATGGGACATTTATGGTTGTTATAATCCTTGGCACTAATGCCATGTCGACCTAGAGAGGTAAAATCATAGTATCAATCATACAATGTTTGCCTGTCTGTCCTTGAATATGGAGGAACATCATGAAGCAGAATGAATAATTAAGTTTCTATATGACAGCCTACCACTGAATTTTTCTCTTTGCTTTGATTGCCACCTTTCTTTCAAGTTCATCTTCAGGCTCAAAGTGGTGTCGGTAGAAATAATCATGGCGGCACTCTGATCTATCTTTGAACAAGAGGTAACAGAGAAAATGTACCTGGCCGAACATAGCAAGGGTGGTCATGTAACATTCTTTACTTGATTAAGCTTCCGAGCCGGTACCGGTACCATTCTTTACTCAATTAAGCGTCCGAGCAGGATGAGGGGTGTTACGGACTACATTACGTATACAGTATAAAACATCGAGTGTATTAGACATCTACCCATATTCGACATTTGACCTTCAGTTCGAGAAATTTAGCCATAGACTATGCCTATAAGAAAACTACCATCTTCCTCGGCACCTTCAAACTCCAAATGTGACTTAAAACTTACAAAACATTGAACATATCACACACGTACTCATACTCAACATTCAACCTTGAATCCGAGTAAGTAAACCATATAGGCTAAGCTTAGTAAGAACTGCATTCGAACTTACCCACTACAAGAAAACTTTCATCTTATTCAAAACCTTCAAACTCCGAATTACTTCCGATTGGATCACAAAAACTTAAACATGGTTTTGAGTCGGTGCACATTCATACCAAAACGATATTCATACATCTTAAAACTCTTTCGAAAACGCTGGTGCAAAAGAACTCATAATCCGGGAACAATGGTGACGGCATAAATTATCTGAACCAAGTCTCGGATTCGAAAGCAACAAAAGAACATGTTTATTATATGTCCAAGAGATGATAAGAACACGGTTTAAGTCGTCAAAGATTGCTCAGTTGAGCAACAGTGAGTTTATTTGAAGCCATCCATTGTTTTCCTACAGCAATTACCTCTCCATTCCCTTTCCTTTTAACTTCAACCACCACATGAATAAGCTTTCCTCTGTTTGCAGTAACCTTTGATTCTATCTCTACATGTTCCTACACAGTCATATGATTTACAAACATCAATCAAACACCTTCAAATTTAATAAACACACAGGCATGGAATTAAACAAGAAATTTTTAACTTGAATCTTGGCTGTTGAATAATACGAAACGTTGAAATCGACTGAAGTGATTATACGATTCGCAAACGAGAAAATGGCAACGCCTCCGAGGAGGTCGAGCAACGAAGCTAAAGCTCCAACATGCCAATTTCCATCAACATCCTGTAAATCAAAGAAATTGTCATGAATTTAATGGAAACGGAGAAAACCCAGAATTCTAGGAGGGTTGAGAGTGAAAGTTCATACCGAGACACCATTTGGAACGACTAAATCAAATCGCATAAGCCCCTTTTCAGCATGGACAACGCGCAGCCCTTCAAGGACCCTGGTATCCAGTCCATGGCCTATTTTACCTCGTAGAACACCGTGAAGCCATGTCAGGGATGTTTGCAAGGAGTCATTTTCCATTTCTTTTAATTTTCTCTCAGATTCTGCAATTTCTATTTATCTTTCCGTAGGAAGATTGGGGACGACGAACGAAGCGTATTGGTGCTCGAGTTGACCGGAGAAAGTTACCGGCTCGGGATAAAGTTTGTCTTTTTAGAAAGAAGAAAAAGGAAAAGAAATGATTTTGAGAGGGCGGAAAACTTACGACTAAAGACAAAAGAAGTCTGGTGTCCTGGGCGGGTCACCATATCGTCTAAGCCAGCCGCCGGTAAATCACAATTTAAGCCCTAAACTTTTACACTTTTCCCATATTGATATCAAAACTTTTTAGTCTACATTAATATCTAAATTTATTTATTTTTAGGCTGTAAATTTATTTACTTTGAGATTTTTTTTTTGATTTCTCAAGGACAAAGTATTTTATTTAAATCTTAATAGTAATAAAGTAGAAAAAAGAAGAAAAACTTTATATCATAATTTCACATTGATCAAATGATAAAAACTATTTATCAATATGATTTGAGCTTTCATGAGTTTTGGATTAAATTTCATGAATTTTAAAGTAAATTTAAAAAATTTAAATTGATAAACTAATAGAGAACAATGAGAAAAGTTTTTTAATACGATCGAAGAAAATAGTAGAGAATGATTGTTATATGACCAATACGCCAACAAAATGTCGTGTATATCAGCATAAAACGAGACACATTACACTATTATTATTTTATTTAACGTTCGAGTGACAAAAATTACAACAATTCGAAAGTTCAATTATTAAATTACTTTTCTGAAAATATAGTGATCAAAACAAAAATATGGTGAAATTCGGGTGATGACAATCATAATTTACCCTTTCGCGTGGTGGAGCCTGTCCTCCACATATTTAACCCTATCGCCGGTCAGCATTTCGCCGGCATCCTTTCTACCAGAATCTCCTCCCTCGATGTACGCATAGAAACCAAAACTAAGGTACTGAAATTACTTATTTTCCGGTAATTCTATTGCACGCATTATTCCTTCTACTCTATATGAATATGCCTAGCTAGCACTAGCAGAATTGAATTCGATTGATCATAAATCTGCGTTTGATCAGTTTTCGTGTTTTTGGTGAGATATTCCAGGATATAGTTAACACTTTTATTTGATGTAGGAGAAGGAAAAAAGGATTTTACGAGTGTGGAAAGGATTTTTGAATTTCATGATTTTCTCTTATTCTTTTCTTGTTTAATTTGGTTCGAAGGGATAGGCTAGACATTAGAGAATCGTATGTAGTTATAATTCAAGCTCCAAATCTGTTGAACCTTGCCTTTTAAGAGTGATTTTACGAACAGAATGAGCTATGGCTTCGACTTTTATATGAACAGATTCAAGCTCCAAATCACTGGTTGCCATTTGAGTGATTTTATCATTATATGAACAGATTGAGCTATGGCTTCGTCTTTTATATGAACAGATCCGAGCTCCAAATCACCGGTTGCCTTTTAGGAATGAATTTATCTTCTGATTTTAAGGGTTTGTGAATTATGATTAGTTAGTACAATAAATAAACTAGTAGCAATATGATTTATTAGTATTCAATTTCTATGCATAAAGTTAAATTAACAAAGAAAACACAAAAGTAATGAAAGATGAAATGCTACATATTGTAGGACAATGTGTTTGTGGAATTGCTTTGCTCGATTCAATACAGAGTGGTTAAGGCACATGCTGATGATGCATTTTACGAGCTGCAAAATGCCGAAGAACAGATCCGGGCTTATGTGTTTGATGGTAATTTTCTTTGCTTTTCTGTTTGCATGTCAGCCTTTATGTATTGACACTATTCATTTATAAGTTACCCTTCCCCCTCTCCTCCCTTTTGTTTGATTTCTGAGTACTAAACATTTCACTTCTTGGGGGTAGTGGTTCGAGTTCTGGTTCCTAGAATTAATCTGGATGATCTCTTTGAACAAAAGGGTGAAAAAAAGGACTAAACTTCACAATGATGTTGTCTTCGCAGCCCAAAGACTTCAGCTTGCGAGTGTGTACAAAGGTGATGCTGAGAAGATTCTCCGAGTTAAAAGAGCAGAAGCCGAAGCCGAGTCCATGTACTTAGGCGGGGTTGGTGTGGCCAGGCAGCGTCAGGCAATCACTGATGGATTGAGGGAGAACATATCGGACTTCTCCCACAAGGTGCAAGGCACCTCAGACAAGGAGGTGATGTATCTCATCATGATTACACAGTACTTCGACATGATCAGGGACCTCTGCAATTCCCCAAAGAACACGACCGTGTTTATTTCCCATGGACCTGGCCTGGTCATGTAAAGGATATAGGTGAGCAGATCCGGAATGGGCTGATGGAAGCATCTAGTGCACAACTAAATGTTGAATGAATATCAAGACAAACGATCTAAAAGGTTGGTCTTTGGGTTTAGATTTGTTGTACAGTCCTTCCACTTTGTCAGTGAGATAATAAGTCAAGGATTATTTGCTTTTGATGGACCTATAGCTCAGTCTTTGCAGGCCCTAGTGACCAACTCTTCTGGCCATTAGCAGTGGGTAGCAGGTGAGGGTTCGTTTAATGGGCAAAATTGGCCCAATAGGTCTATGGGGAAAAATAACCCGGTCATTTCGAAAATTAATTTGAGATATATGACAAATGTTACGGTGTATGAAAAACTCGTCACGTCTACATGACGAATTTTCCAAAATTATATAATTTTTTATTAGATTTTATCACTTCGGGGTGATAAGTTTTAATAAAAAATATATTTTATTAAAACTAATCATACCCACATGACGAGTTTCAAATCATTATAACAAATACCGTAGTCCCCAAACCAAAATACCCGACGTCGTATTGGGCTAAATAATTAGCCCACTTACGATATTCGGCCAAAATTGCCTCGTTTAATGCATTTCCTTGGAGTTTTGGGTCGACGGGGTAATTTGGTTTTTCGAGGTAAACACGTGGCCTCTTTAATTATTCCACACAAAATGCATATATATAATTTTTACTAGGAAAATAAATCCCATACTTACTTTCTAGTAAGTTTCTTATAAAAATATATTAAATTTCCGATAAATTAAAATTCAATCCCAAACCATTCCTTTTTTTTATGAGAAAATATATATTCCCACCTTCTCTCCTTTGTGTTAAAAAGGTTGGGGTAAAATGCACTTTCCTTTTAACTGTTAGGCAGAAATTACAAATTAGGTATAGTAAAAGCCGGCAGAAGCAAGACATGGAAGTCCAATCAAAGCTTTTTGAAGTTTTTAACCTAACGGGTGAAAGTAAAAAGGGTTTTGGCCCATGCAACGTGGACCAATGTGAAAAAAAACTGTCTCATTTGATGATTTAAATAAAAATATAAAATCATTTTGAAGGATACAAAAGGAAAGTGTAATCATGAAATTAGGAGAATATAAATTATTTTGTTTGTAATGAGTGTATGAACCATCATTGTTAGTAGGTAAATGTAGTTGGGGATTGGTAGGTTTTGGACTACCATTTTAGTGGTATTTGAAAAAAAATGTAGAATAGCTTTTTTTTATTCTTAACTTTTATCATTCTTCTCATATAAAAATTTAAGAACTAAAATGATTGGAGTTATGGGTATCTTTATTTATTTTTGAATTAATCACTCGTATTTGATATATTGATCGATTAATCTAGATCGGGTATAACATAGACGAGAGTGACCCTCCCAACCCAGTTTGATCCATTCACAAATGCCAGGATTCGAACCCTAACCTTACTTAAAGAACCTAGTGTCTCATTCCACTTGTTAGTGTCTCATTCCACTTGTTGTTGGTGAGTTATGGGTATCTTTAAGTCTAACCCTTTCTTTCCATCTTTCAATACCCAATTATCTTAAAAATTAGAAAGAATAAATATTAAGATTTGGATTTTGGATTTATCAAGGTAAATACATTATTTGTAATATGAATTTCGTCCAACTCAATTTAAAAAAATGTATAATAAGATCTACAAATTCAATCCATGTTTCTTTCCCATAAAAAAATGTTAGGGTATTGTAACGTGAATCAGCCGAGCAAAAGAATTTGCTGGATTACCCTGCTTGACTTGACAGGTTTGGCTTGCATAATAACATCCAGTGAAAATAAGAACACAGAGAAGATTAGAGAAGATTAATGGAAGAAACCAACAATTGGTTGGTACAGTAGGATAGACCACTAAATTTATTGTGATTGCGAATGAAATAAACTGGGTTCGGAGGATCACACCGTGAACCTTTTCAGATTAAATCAAACGGAATTCAAATCACAAACTACTTAACACAAATTATTCTGATTCTGCTTCAAGTTCAAAAAACAATCAACCACCGTGTGAGTGGTATGAGGGAAAAAGAAAAGGTGGAGAAGTATGATATCAGGAAAGAATGTTCAATCATGGTGTAGCATTGAAAGTGTCAAGATTCTTGTAGAAAAAGGGCGGGTCCTCCCCCTGTCCTATACACTAATGATTTATACTTTTCTTTCCCTTTTATCAAACAAAATTAGTGGGATGAACAATACCATACTATACTGGTCGAAGAAGAAGAAAAAAGCAGCCCCGCCTCCCTAGTTGGTGAGCAGTCAACATTACTTGGCCTTGCCGACAGCTCCATTGTCCCTCCCTTAAAATTCTAGTAGTAAAGACACACAAAAGGTTGAGAAATCTACGTTTATACTCTGCTGACTACATACATATGAAGGTCAGTAGGTAGACGAGTCTAAAACCGTGTCCGAAGAGTGAGTGCGAACCTGTGCTTTTACTGGATATCTCGTTTGGAGTTTAACATAGTTTTACCATCAATAGGGGACTGCTGCAGTGCAGCAATGGTTTCATGTAAAAGTTTTCCTGGGATTGTCCACCGATGGTGTATAACAGAGTGATACGATAATACTTAAGAAACCGGAGCATGGGACAGCACGGTTTAGGGTTCACTCTTGACGTTCCTTTTCACCTATTACTTGCACAGCACGGTAAGTCCATTCGTGGATTTGCAGTCTTTCGTCAAAATAAACAAGGGATTAAAATGATGAATAAAACCTGAGTTCAATGCATTCACATGTTTACCGTGCAGCCAACCTACCATATTTTTCATACGCATAATATGTATTTTTACTAATGTGTTAAATTCGAAATTTTTACATTTTTTTATCTTCTTGTAAAATATTGTCC